GAAAGGCTCGGCTCTCTCAGCAGCCAGTGCATCTGCCAGTTGAATGTGGCCACATAGTAAGTCCAGGCCAGACCAGCAGAAGAACTGCCTGGTTGATCCCAACCCACAGAATCACTGAAAATAATGGAGTATTGTCTGAGGTCCAGTTTCCCAAACATAATTAAGTCTAGGTATGGTATCTCTAACCATTATTATTAATTGAGATAGAACAGATTAAAAACAAGTAATTGATAAGTGATGGCTAGAATGCCCTTGCTGTATAAGGAGATTCTGTTACTTACTTATCCCCCAACTCAATCCCTGATATCTCCCTCCTCTTATAATTTAACCAAAATAGAGCCCAAGTCAGGACCACCCACACCTGGCCATTGCCCACCAGTCCTAGGGCCACTCAGTCATCTCTCAGATGGTCTCTGTGCCTCCAGGTCCTTTCTCACCCCATCTACCCTAAAGATCAAGGATCAGCAAACTACAGCCCATGGGCCAAATCTGACCCACCACCTGTTTTTGTAAGGCTTGACCTGAAACCTAAGAATACATTTTTAATGTCAAAAAAAAATTAGAAGTAAAATAATATTTCATGACATGTGAAAATTATATCAAATTCAAGCTTCAGGGTCCCTAGGTGAATTTTTATAAGAACATGTTTATTTCTGGATTGTCCGTGGCTGCTGCAAGCTACAGCAGCAGAGCTGAGTGGTTGCGATAAAAACCACATGGCTCACAAAGCCTCAACAACTTACTCTCTGTCCCTTCACAGAAAAAGCCGGCTGGTCCCTTCTGTTAGTCCCTCCTGCCATCGGGCTAACTTTTAAGCAACTTTTTAATTGTATTCACTCCAAAACCTTTAAAGATTTCTACCTCCTCCCTCAAAGAGATAAAAACTGTTGGTCTGACTTCCCGGTCCTAAGACAGACCCCAGGAGTTTGTGACCTGAATTTGTTTCCTACGACAGTCTCCCAGGTACTCTCCACTCTGGGCCAACCTGTCTGTAAGCTGCCCCTTACAGGCAGGACAGTGCCTCTATCATTTGTTGTTCTGGCCTAGAAAGCTGCCCTGGCCCGCTGCAATTTAAACCCTCCCCATCCTTCACTCCACTCAGAGTTGCAGCTCTTTAACCAAGAATGCTTCCCTAACCACTCTGCCCCATATTTCCCTGGGTGAATTCTATGGAACATCAAGTCCAAAGGACATCTTTGGAAAAAGACGTCTGCAGATGTTCACCTTCCTTGGAGTCACAATGTACAAATACGGCATATTAAAGGCTCTGAGAAGTCCTGCAGTCAAGATGCCTAGTTATCTCTTTTGCTGAACTCAGCCTTTCCCCATTGAGTAAACTATGGGATTTNCCTAGTTATCTCTTTTGCTGAACTCAGCCTTTCCCCATTGAGTAAACTATGGGATTTATTTTGTCTACAGAATACTTGTTGACCACCAGCATCTAGTACAGTGCCTGGAATTCAGCACTTGTTGAAAAAATGAATATCGCTGACATCCCACAGAACTAGGGTTCCACAGAACATACTTTGGAAATGCTGCTCGAGCTCCTTCTGCTGTCCCTCTAGTCTGAGCTGTGCCCTCCCATGTCATCTACTGCACACAACGTGATGATCATCATCACCGTCAAAGGAGCAAGCACGGCGCTGCAGGCAGTGTTAGAGCCTTGAAGATGTCACCTCTTTTCATCCTCACAACCACCTCTGAGGTAGGTAGTGTTACTCTTCCACTGTTATTTTGCCAAAAATGAAACCATGGGTCAGAAAACTTAAATCACTAGGCCAAGATAAAGTAAGCAGAAAAGCAAGAACACAAGACTACATAGGTCTAACTCCAAAGCTCATGACCTTCCTTCTCTGCCAGAGTGCCTCCTGAGAATGTACTGTGGCCAGTGTGGCTGGCTGTCCACCCAGTATCCCTTCTAGCTCTCTTCCATGCTAGTGGAACCCTGGTTTCATACAGAGTAGCAACAGGTCAAACCAGGCAATGGATTGCAACCACCTAAACCAGTCATGACACTGGTCCCATTGCCTTGCAGCTTGGACGAGTGATTTGACCTAGTTCTGGCCAAGAAGACATACAAAAACAACATTTGTGGGGTAGGGAGGAGAGGTGTCTTATGGAAGCCAAACAAAGATATGAAGGCTTTATTCCCTCCCACTCACTTGGTCCCTCTCTTCCCTGCCTTGAACCTGGGTGTAATGGTGAAAGCTTCAGCAGCCATCTTGAAACTGTACGATAGAAGCCATGAGAATTCACAAAGACATCAGTCCTGATATTATTAAGTCACTGAGCCAACTCAAGCAGCCGTATACCTCCAGACTTCTTGCTACTTGAGAAAAAGAAACCATTATTTGCTTAACCACGCCGGTTGGATTTTCCATTTCACGCAGCTGAACACATTCCTAATAGATGCAGATGCAGTCTCCCATATCACTTACTGTTGAACTTAATCATTATCTCACACCTACGTTATTACTCTTATCTCTCTCATCATAAAGTACGCTTCTTGGAGGCTAAGCCCATGTCGTACATTTTTGCTTCCACAGGAGTATAGGCGAGAATTTCAGGAATGGTCTGTTCAATTTACTGCTTGCTTTCGTGCTTGTGAGCAGAGAGAGGTCATCGTCGAAGAGCTGAAATATGGCCTCTGTCTCCTGTTTAGTCTTTCCATGGTGTCAGTAGGAAAGCATGCATCAGAAATACCTGACTGTTTATTAAACACAGCTTACCGGGCCCCCTCCAATCCCAACTGAATTAGAATCTCTGGGGTTAAAGGCTGAGAATGGGCATTTGCAATAAGCTCCCCCAGGTGGTTTTGATACATAACATTTGACAACTTCTGGGATTCAAAAACAACAACTGTGGATCCAAAACCTATGTGAGGTTTGGCAGGACTTGGCTGGACCCTAAGGCACCAGCCCTCCTCAGGGGCCCCACCCTAGCCCTGGAGATCTAGGAAGCCTAAATTGGCATAATTGCTCAAGACCCTTTCTTGGGCAATATAGATAAGGCAGTTGGCATGCTATCTGCAGCATACTGGGATTAGGAAATTAACAAACAGATGCACTCCCAGTAACTGCCACCTCCCACCATACCAATGCCTATCTCTTCCAGTTTAAAAAGAAAACCTCTATGCAGAAAAGAAGCAATGGAATCAGTGGCCCACTGCAACAATCACCATGATCCACAGATCCACAGAAGCACATTAAAAAGAAGAAAAGAAAACTAGACAAAGTTACATACTAACACACAAGCTAGCATTTGGGACTCCTGACTCAGAGGATCAGAAGAGACCTCCGGTGGCCCTTTTGGGTTATTTCTTTATTTACAGCATGCAATTCTGAACAGAATCTTCTCTAAGGCACTGCTCAGACAGAGATGGAAGGCTGGACCAGGGCATCCCACACTTTTTCTTCCATCGGCAGAGTCCCAGCCTGCATGGCTCTCCAAAGCTCTGAGAAAGAAAATACCTGTGCCTCCCAACAGAATTCCCACGCCTCTGCTACCCCTTGACACTTATGTTATTTCATTTCTGACAGTTATTTTCCCAGGTGACAGGTGCACACAGAGACATTCTAGGGGAGCAAATAGCATATTCAACATACACAGACACACACACACACACACACTCTAACTCCACTTTCAAACCGATGGCCTTCCTGCCTGCTGACATCTGGGCAAATTTAAAATCACAGAGGAGAAAGACTTGAAAGTCAATCAGAGAGAGGTGCTCATCCATGCTGGGACAGGAGCACAAGGGCTAAAAGATTCAGTCCGGGACTGAAGAGTGCAGGCCTTGGAAACACACGGGCTGAACGAAGGGCCCTCCCAGCTCTGCACACGCCAGCTCCACCACGGGGAGAACCACTTTCCCCTGCTCCCAGCCCCACGGCCATCACCCTCAGCAAATGCCAGCTAATGGGAGTTCCCACGTTTCATCAAGCCTCAAGCCATGTGTACCACCTGCAGTTTGAGGGAGGGAGGTGAGTTGAACCCTTCAGGTGTTTGGAACAAGGTGGATGCCAGGCATTTTCTAAACCTCTTGAAAACTCCTTCCTTTGACCAGATGGCCTTGGGAAGGAATAATTTCTGCCATCTTCTTTCTGAGTAACTTTGCATCCATCCTACCCCCCCCCCCCAATCCAGGACAAAATTGCTTCAAACTCCCCCTCAAGTTCTGTTAGAGAGAATGTTATAACATGCCAAAGATAACTCCTCCTCCCGACCCCCCCTTTTTTTTCACCGTCCCACCAAGATTCCAGAGTATTTTCTCACACCACCTGTGTGTGCCGATCCAGGCTTTTTCTTAAAAAAAAAGAAAGAAAGAAAGAAAAAGCATGCTTCAGGCCTGCAACAGCTCCCTGCATCAAAATGATTCGACTGGAAACGGGGAGCTCAACGGGGAATTCTTTTTCAGGCATCTTGCCTCCTGACATGTATACCCCTGAAAACAAACAAACCAAATCCAAGGAGCCAAAGGTGGGGGGCAGTGGGCAGGCTGGGAAGGAGACCGAGAAAGACGAAGTCTACATTTATAGGCAGCCCCATTCCGCGAGCAAAAACCACCTTTTGACCACCTGCAGAATGCGCAAGGTCACGTGGGTTCTCTGCAGCGCCTTAATGTCTTTACCCTGCACACAAGCCCCCCGCGGCATATCAACAAATCCACAAGCGGAAAAAAGAGAGAACTCACTCCTCAGAGAGGAAGCGAACGATAACCACAGCCGCCAGAACAATAATAAAGAATAACAATTACTACTACTGCTCCCACCACCCAGCCAAGCGGCAGCCGACAGCGGTACAGCGAAGGGACATCCAAGCGCAGGGTTTGCAAGATAAATCACAGAAGATCGAAGACCGAACCGTGCCCACCTTGCAATCCTCCCACCCCCTCCACCCCACCCCCAACAAACAGAATCAAGGGAAGAGGGGATGGTGGGGGAGAAAGTGGAGGGGAGGAAGGATTGCTTTTTTTTTTTTTTTTCATAGGCAACACCTACCTCCAAGGTCCGGATTTCTTTTTGTGTGAGGTCGTTGGAGGTAGCACATTTGGTCCTAAGCCCTTCCAGGTTGGAGATGCTCAGGTCTATCATGTTTTGGACCAACTCGCACTGCTGTAAGGCTTTTTGCAAACTCAGAGGCTGCTGCTCCTCGCTTTTCGTCATGTTTTCCTCATCCATCGCTTGCTCTGCAAGCCCCCTTCCCCTCCTCCTCCTCCCAGAGAGAAAAAAGGGGGGTGTGGGGGGGGAGTAGAGGTAGTCCGCCCCCTACGCCTCTCCAACCACTGCGACTTCTCAACAGTGTCTCATGAAGAAGAAACCCAACATCTCACACAGGGTTGAGGGGGTGGGGGTGGGAGGAGGGGAGAAGAGCCAAAATTTATTATTTTATTTTGGGATGTCAAGCAGACTATTAGAACGTCTCCCCTCTCTGAGTCTCTGGTCCCTGAGAAGGAGAGATGCTGTTTCTCAGAAGCAAGCCAGGTGATGTGATGCTGTCTGTACACTTAGGGAGGAGGCGGGATTTCTAGGGGATGCGGAGCTCGCGTGGCAAAGTGAAATTACTACCGGGCGTGCGTGCGAGCGAGCGATCGGCGGGCGGGGGCGCGGGGGAAGAGCGCGCGGCGGCTGAGGCTGCTCCTGGGGGCGGTGGAGATGGCAGGGAGTGTGCCAGAGCTCGGAGACTGGGCGAGGGGGCGGGGAGAGGGATTTGGTGGCCGGGCGGGGGTGGGGGACACTACTACGGCACCGCTCTCGCGAGAGGAGGCCGGCGCGCGGCTCAGCAGGTGCGCTCTGGCTGGGAGCAGGTGTGTGTCCAACTTTAAACCCCGTAGTGCGTGCTGGAAAAACGTCAGCGTGAACCTGGGCACGTCCTCTCTGGCTTTCTGGCTAGAAGGGTAGGGGGAGGGTGGGGGGGGGGATGTTTTTGCTTGTCCAACCTTGATGGTGTTGTGGGGTGGGAGGGGGGAGCAAACCTGATGCTCTCCCTTGGGCTGTAGGAAGCTGCCTCCCAGAATTGACACCCAGGCCTTCAATCGCCCTAATGGGTGACTTTCCATTTGGAGAGTGAAAGGGGCTTTGCCTTAATCTGATTGCTAACCCTGTCCTACATGTCCTGCATGATCTGATCCCAGACTACCTAACTGACCTTCTATCAGCAAACTATGGTCCCAGAATTACAAATGGATTTTACACTACAAACAATAAATGCTGGAGAGGGTCTGAAGAGAAGGGAATCCTCCTACACTGTGGGGATGTAAGTTGATGCAGCCACTATGGAGAACAGTAGGGGAGGGTCTTTAAAAACTTAAAATAGAGCTACCATATGACCCAGCAACACCACTCCTGGGCATACATCTGGAGAAAACCATAATTTGAAAAGATATATGCACCCCAGTGTTCAGTGCAGCACTATTTACAATAGCCAGTACATGGGAGCAGCTTAAATGTCCCCTGATAGAGGAATGGATAAAGAAGATGTGGTGTGGTACATATACACAAAGGAATATTCAGTTCAGTTCAGTTGTTCAGTTGTGCCAGACTCTTTGCAACCCCATGGACTGCAGCACACGAGGCTCCCTGTCCATCACCAACTCCCAAAGCTTGCTCAAACTCATGTCCATCGAGTCAGTGATGCCATCCAGCCATCTCATCCTCTGTTGTCCCCTTCTCCTGCCTTCAGTCTTTCCCAGCATCAGGGTCTTTTCCAATGAGTCAGTTCTTCACATCAGGTGGCCCAAGTATTGGAGCTTCAGCTTCAGCATCAGTCCTTCCAATGAATATTCAGGACTGATTTCCTTTAGGATAGACTAGTTGGATCTCCTTGCAGTCCAAGGGACTCTCAAGAGTCTTCTCCAACACCACAGTTCAAAAGCATCAATTCCTGGTGCTCAGCTTTCTTTATAGTCCAACTCTCTCATCCATACACGACTACTGGAAAAACCATAGCTTTGACTAGATGGACATTTTGTTGGTAATGTCTCTGCTTTTTAATATACTGTCTAGGTTGATCATAGCTTTTCTTCCAAGGAGCAAGCATCCTTTAATTTCATGGCTGCAGTCACCATCTGCAGTGATTTTGGAGCCCAAGAAAATAAAGTCTGTCACTGTTTCCATTGCTTCCCCATCTATTTGCCACAAAGTGATGAAACTGGATGCCGTGATCTTCACTTTTTGAATGTTGAATTTTAAGCCAGCTTCTTCACTCTCCTCTTTCACTTTCATCAAGAGGCTCTTTAGTTCCTCTTTGCTTTCTGCCATAAGGGTGGTGTCAACTGCATAGCTGAGGTTATTGATATTTCTCCCTGCCATCTTGATTCCAGCTTGTGCTTTGTCCAGCCCAGCATTTTGCATGATGTACTCTGCATATAAGTTAAATAAGCAGGGTAACAATATACAGCTTTGACCTACTCCTTTCCCAATTTGGAACCAGTCCATTACTCTATGTCCAGTTCTAACTGTTGCTTATTACTCAGCCATAAAAAAGTATGAAATAAGGCCATCTGCAGCAACATGAAGAGAACTAGAGATTGTCATACTGAGTGAAGTAAGTCAGAGAAAGACAAATATCATAACATCATTTATATGTGGAATCTAAAAAATGGTACAAATGAACTCATTTATGAAACAGAAATAGAGTTGCAGATATAGAAAACCATCTTATAGTTACCAGGAACTTAAGAAGGGGGAGGATAAGCTGGGAGTTGAGATCGACATGTACACCCTACCATATACAAAATAGATAGCTAATAAAGACCTATACTGTATAGTCAGGGAACTCCACTCAATGCTCTGTAATGACCTCCTTGGGGAAAGAATCTTTAAAAAAGTGGATACATGTATATGTATAACTGATTCACTTTGCTGTGCAGCGGAAACAAACACAACATTGTAAGTCAGTGACACTCCAATAAAAAAAAAAATTCTTTAAAGAATAGATTTTATATTTTTAAATGGTTCAGAAAAAAATCAAAAGACTATTTTGGCACGTGAAAATTAACAAGAAATTCTAATTTAAGTGTTTATAAATAAAGTTTTATTGAAATACTGCCACCCATTTACTTGTGTGTCTTTACCTTTGCATTATAACAGCAGAATTTAGTTGCAGCAGATACTGTATGTCTTGGAACACCTAAAATATTTACTCTCTAGCCCTTTACAGAAAAGTTTGCTATCCCCAGGTTAAACTGCCAAACATACTCTTGTCTTAGAGATCTTTGTACTCTATGTCTCCTCTCCCCAGGTCACATTTCCCCCAATATTTTCCTGATTGGCTCCTGTCACTTTGTGTCAACTCAAATGTCATCTCAGAAAGGTTCCATTTCCCTGACCATTTTAACTAATAATACTCCCAAGATGCATTGCCCAAAGGATATATTTAGGATAATTGGCCAAAGGCACCTCTTTCTCCAAGTAAACAGAGCTCCATTCCAGGGATTGGGCTTATAGAGCAGAGTAGATTCAGAACTCATGGTAATATGTATTCCTTAAAGGAAGTTGCTTAAGATGTAGAATGACTGGAGATATCAAACTTTTTCTTGTACTGTGGGCCCATGGGGTTTAATGGCTCAAATAGAGCTGAATCAACATTTTCAAAATTACCTCCCATCCATGAGGGGCTCAAGTGTGTTCTCCACCCTCTCAATCTTTTGGATTATGAAATTTACAAATTCCAGTTCTCTGAGAAAATTTTCTCTTCATTCATTTTTCCCATCTTTTGTTTTTCTTGAAAATATTAATTATGGTTATTTTAAAGCCCCTGTCTAACTCCAATGCCTCAATCACCTGGGGGGAGGGGGGTCTATTTCTATTGACTATTTTTCTCTTTGTTTTCAGTGATTTTGTCCTGTCTCTTGGCAGGCCTTGTAATGTTTGTTGAATGCAATGCAGTATCTGTGTATGAAAAAAATATCTAGAGTCTCTGGTTGATGTTGTCTTACTCTGGAGCGGGCTCATCCTTTCTCTGCAAAACAGATGGCATGAGGACTAACCATCCTAATCCAATCTGAGGCTGAGCTGGATGGAGGCTGCATAGCAGTTTTGATAAGACACCACTTAACTCTGGCTCTCACTTGTAAATCCTTGCCTTTCAGTATTTCCAACTGAGAAGTTTAGGTGTTCACCAAGGCCCCTCCCCCTGGTCCTGGGGTCTAATCCTTGTCTCCACAACATGGCAAGACTGTTGAAAACTCTGCTCTGTTTTTCAGGAACATTTTTCTTGGCTCTTTAGCCTCTTGGCCTGCACTGTTTCAGAATTTGCCAAATGTCTTGAGTGGGAAATTGCCATCTATCAAGCTCACTTTTCTGTCCCCCACTCCCTCTTTACACAGTATTAGCCTTTTAAGTTCCCAGTTTTGTCTCTCCAACCTTAGAAGGCTGCCAAAAGTTTTGTGGCTTCTCTGTCCTCTAGAAGCAGCTCCCTGCCTGGAAACTAACTGATGAGAATCGTATTTCACCCCAGAAACTGCATTTGAGCTCTAAATGATGAAAATCTCAGAGTAGCTTCATCAATAGTGGAAATAAATTATTGTTACTGGGCTACTGAATGAGCTGAACTTGGCAAACCCTCATAAGATCCCATAGCTTTTAGTTTCAACCATTAAGAATGATCTCAATTTTGCATATTAGAAGTCCATTCTAGTCCAACCAAAGCTTCCTTCTTACATCCAGTTTTATGCCTCTTCCCCACCCCCTCTGGTATGACTGTAGATGAGGAACCTGCAATGGAGACTAGGGCAGGCATGTCCTTTCCTGCCTCCCCTCCAGCTCCTCTTGCTGGTGTTCAGGAGCAGAGGAATGAATGCAAAGGACCTTCAGGTGAAACAAGTGAGAACAGGTAAGTTCTCACTTGAGTGTCAGATCCCCCCCACCATGTCCTGGTGAGTCCTTACATGCTGGTTCTTTCACATGGGGGTGCACGGGAGGGTGGATCTTTGGAGACCTCCGTGGGGACCATGTGGAGACTCAAAGCACATGCTATGATCTCTCGCACATCCCCTTTCCACTCATACCCCAGGAAGTACCCTACATTTTCTTTCTGAGGGCCTCTTGCCTGGCAGGCTGCCCTCTCCGGTGAGTTTTTCAGGATGACTCAAGTCTAAGGATATGTGCTTTGGCCCATGAGAAGCAGGATGTACCTTTGCCCCACTGCCCTTTCTCCTCACCATGGGCAGCCTTAAGCAGGCAATGAAATGCCAGCCACTCCCCCTGTGTATGCCCAGTCTCAGGAGTGATACTCCTTTGAACTCTCCTCTCTTGGCTTGGAGGTTGAAAGGGGAGAAGAAAACACCA